GCGATGTTGAGTGACGACTTCCTGCACGTCGTCATCATCGCTTTCTGGTTCAGGCGATGCTGGCGGTGCTGTGTCTCCGCCGCTTCTGCTTCCTCCTACTGCACCTCCCTCTGTTGCGCCTGTTCCTCCTTCACCTGAATAATCGTCGTCGTCGCGGCGATCGCCCCTTGTGAACTCGCCTCTGGGATCCTGCTCCAGAATTGCTGCTGTTGCTTCGTCCTCAGATGAGGCGTAGCTGTGGCCCTCGTTGGCGTAGACGCGGTTTGCATTCGTCTGCTTGTCGTCACGAAATTGTTGGAGAAACAGTCGCTTGTAGAAGATGACATCGCGCGCATTCTTGATTTTCTGGCTTAGGAGATCCAGGATGATCCACGCCTTGTGTTCGTGGCTGATACTGAGATGGATTCCCCAGCGCGCGCGGCTTTTGAACTTCCCGATGGTTGATGTTGGCGGTCGGTATTGAACCATGCAGCCCCAGACGTGGAGCATGGAGGTGTCCCCCTTTCTTCCCGTCCATTTCACGTACGGCGAGGAGTTGCCGGTGATTGCGGTGGTTGACAGCAGGTTGTGCACCCGCACGGCGTGGTGCATCGCGTAGGTCTAGTAGATCGGCAGGAGCTTTGCCTGCCGCATTAGCGCCCGTACCTTCGTCATGAGGGTGCGATTCGAGCGCTCCGCTACGCCCTGCTGCTGGTGCGCGTAGGGGAGGGAGATGTGATGCTCGATCCCCTTTTGCGCGAGGTAATCCTGCAGTTCCTTGCTCCTGAACTCTGCCGCACCATCGGACTGCCAGATCTTCAATTTCTCCCCAGATTGCTGCTGCACATGCGCCAGCCACAGACGGAATGCTTCGTAGGCTCTGCTACGCGCTTCCACGTTTACGACCCACACGTGGCACGTTCCGGCGTCAACGAAGGTGAGTTTGTAGAGTTCGTCGTTGATGCCGCAGTGTCCTACGTTGAGAAAGTCACTGTAAACCTTCACAAGCTTGGCGTAGCGATTGGTTCCTGGCTCGAGTAGGGGGAAGGGCTGGTGACTCAGCGAAGCTTCGGGGCAGACAGTGCAGCTGCGCGGGTGAGTCCCTCCTCTCACTTTGGAGCCACCAGGGCGCAACAGCGCGCCAGGTGCAAAGACGCCGGCTTCGATGCAGTTCTTCAGGGTCACGCGCGAAGGGTGACCCAGGCGCTGATGCCAGATGGCGTCGTCGGCACGGAATCCAGATGTGCGCATGTAGCGCTCCAGTGCGGCTGCGGGGTCTTTGTCAGGTGCCGGTGCAGGTGTAGGCGCTGCTCCCTCATTCTCTTCTTCCTCGTTCGCCGTCGTTAGCATGAGGGCGAGAAATTCTCTGTCGCGGATGATGGAGTAGGGGATGTTGGTTCCGGGGATCATGCCAAGTACAAACGCCGGTTCGCGTGGTTCAGGGGCAGGTCCGTAGACAGTGCGTTGCGGGGTGAGTGGTTCACTTCCCGAGTCAATGGTGTCCCAGGGGTCACTACCTGAAGGGATGTCAGGCGGCGGTGGTCCTAACGCAGGGCGGCGCGGAGGTCGTCCGAGAGGAACAACAGGAGGTTCGGCCTCAGCATGCGCAGGTTCTTCTTCGTCTTCCCCCCTTTGATCCTCGCGGAAAGCTCCCCAGCCACTCGTCTCGCCGCCTTGTGCTGCGCCCCATCCGCCGGTTGCGATGCCCCAGCCGCTGGTTTCGCTCGTTCCCCATCCGCCGGCGCTCCCCCACCCCCTTCATTGGAGGCGCTTTCCTCGTCCTGTTCCCAGGCGAGCATTCTGCGTGCCTCGACGAGGCTCTTCCGCCGAAGCTCTTCGGCTTCTTGTTGCGCCAATGCCTCTTCTTCCGTGAGCGAGAGCCGTTTCTTGGAATCGCGCCGGTGAGAGTAGATCTCTGCCGCCTTTTGTTCGGTGTAGGGCCAGGGATTCTCATGCGCGTCGAAGGTCCCGAAGCCAACACCGCGGAGCATTCCTTGGAGATGCTGGGATGCGGGTCCGGGAAGAGGGTGTTCCAGTGTGCCGAATACGACCCGTGTAGCTCTTTCCAACTCTAGTTGGGAGAGACCCTCTTCAGGCGGTGCGTCTCGCTCTGTTTCGCGAATGGCGGCAAGGCCACGGCCGGCGATCGCACTCGTCGAAGACGTTGGTGTGTGGCAGTCCCTGCAGACGCCGTCAGGATCGGGGTCGTGCAGTGCGAGCTCGCGGGGGTGTGAGTGGTGTGGCACCCAGGGGCGCCCATCAGGGTGCTTCCAATCGCGGCGATGAATGTGTTCGAAGCGCAGGGGGACGAGGTCAATCAATTCCTGCGAATCGCCGCTGCAGTCGGGAATGTCGAAGTCGAGAACGTATACGCCGTTCTCGGCGTGCGCCCGTCCGGTCTACTTGCGCTTCTTGTTCGGCATCGTGAAGTGGAGCAGGATGTCACGCGTCTCGGGGTCGGTGCTGACGATGACTCCGCAATCCAGGATTTGCGCCGCCGAGAGTAAATTAAAGCGCAGGTTCTGCACAATCAACACGTCGTTAAGTGTGATGTGCGTTCGGCTTCCTCGTGCCTTGAGCACCACGATACCTTGCGCGCTTGCGCGCAGCCGCGTGTTGTTCGCCACTGTGACGTAAGTGACGACGGGAGTGGAGACGGCGTTGGATATGTAACGCTCGGAGCCCACCATATGTTGCCCACAGCAGCTGTCCTGGTACCAGTTTTTGTAGCGCCTGTTGTCGTTTCGCGCGAGCAGCGCCAGTCGCGGAGTGACGATGTGTGGAGTGTCTACCTTCAAAAACTGTTCGCGCACGATCCAGTCGATCGGTGCCGGCCGCATGTGAGGTACGTGGGGAGGGCTCTCACGCAGTGGGACTGGTAGATTCCAGTCCTGGTTGTCGTCGCCGCTGTAGCCGTGATGCGTGCTGAATGGATTGTTGTTCGGAGATGCCTCGATTGGGTCGGGCGCCGGCTCAGGTGAGAGTGAGCGTGCGCGCGGGCGACGAGAGCCGCTCGTCATGGTCATGTTCCCCATGACGTTGCAGACGGGGGCAGCTTGTGGTGGCTGCTGCTGCTGCTGCTGAGTTGTTGGATTCAGGTTGCGCGGTGGGGGTTGAGACCCCTGGGCGGGACGCGTGTCGTTTCTTGCGTCTTGTCGACCGGACCAAGTGCTCGGATTGGTCTGGCGAGGGCAAGATCGATGCTTGCATCCATCCGCCAAGTGCCCGAAATTTCTACAGATCTTGCAGTAGAGGCGCCATGGTCGTTGCTCTTCCGTGTTGTCTGTGTAGGATGCGAGACGTTCTCTCTCTCGTCGTGGCGCTCGTCACTGCTGGTCCATATCCCGTTGTTCGACGAGGAGGGCGGCGCAAAGGGCGGCCTCCGAGATGACCCCCTGCTATCAGAGAAGCGCCTTGCAGGGCCGCCACTCTGGGCCGAGCCCTTGGAGCACGATGTTCACGAAGATCTCTTCAGAGATCGAGCTCCCCAATTTCGCGATTTGATCGCGTAGACTCCGACAGCGATTCAGGTAACTATTGGCTTTCTCTCCTGGTGCCATCTTTGTTTCTAGTAACTGCTGGAGGAGGCGGCTCGACGACACTGAGTCCTTGGGTTGGTATACGCCATTCAGGTGGCGCCAGGCGTTGAGGGCTGGAGCAGGGGAGGTCTTGTATGAGCGAATGCTCAATTGCTCCGTCGGCGACATGTTCCGCAGAAGAACCCCATACGCCATCAGGGACTCGTTGTAGTACTTGGGTTTTGCGTCGTCAGTTTCTTCCGTAGGCCCGAGTAGCTTCCGTCGAAATAATGATAAATCTGCGCGTTTTGGAGTAGCAGCTCCAGCTCAAAGCTCCAGGTATAGAAGTCTCTGCCGTCAAAGCACGCACTTGTCTTTATTTTTGATATGCTCAAAAACCTTGATTGCGCAGAGAGAATTGCTTCATCGCTGGGACAGGAAGTCTTAGGGGTTGAGCTGTTCGCATCGAGAGAGAAGCCTTGTGGGCCGGAGTTCTGGCCATTTGAGGCCGGTTGAGTGGGTTGGGAAGAGGTTCCCGCATCGCCATTCTGCAATGTCTGGAGCCCTTGCTCCAGGCTTGTGAGTCGCTGAAGCAGTTGTGCGAGGACGGCGGAAGGAATCGTCGTCGTTTCCTCGTTTGTCGCAGCCGGGTTGGGCTGCGCTTCAGCCGTCAGATTCGTCTGACCTCCAGATCCTCCGGCCATCTTTACACGTGATCGTGTGCCGGACGCCACTTTCCGAATGTCGCAGATTTCGGAGATGGCGGTGCGAAGGATTCCTGAGTCGCTCTCATACCATGTCAAAATCAGGAAGTGATAGTAACCAGGATCACCTCAGGAAGGTTCGCACAATTCTAGTCCAGTGGTGGTGGGCCCTTGACCACAATAGCAGAGTGAATGTAAATGCTTGAGATAATAAAAGCGTGCAGTACAGGGAATATAAATATGAGTACAGGGGAATTCGAAACGACCTAACTAGCCATGTACTCTAAGGGGTACATTCCCTTATTGCAGCGAAATCCAATCGTGCGATTCCGAGTGGTTACGTAACTGTTCGGGCAGAATCATCGCCACTGCTGTTGCCTGATGCTGTCTGCCCGACAGTCCAGATGCTCCTCGTAACCGTCTGTCCCTTCGCCTTTCTTCTGCCTTTTCGTCTTCACTCTTGATAGTGCGTGCTTCGGCTTTGCTACTGTGAGGAGTGCGCAACAGTGTTTTACATTAACCACTATTCGTAGCACACCTTACCTAGCCTAGGAGGTGTGTCAACATACACATATGCATTGGCATGCCTATTCTTTAGGCTATTTTGGGTTGCACTATGGACGGTACGGGTTTGCTAGATACAACCCCTCTGTATGCCTTCATTCATCATTCATTCTGTACTTGACAGAGGCGTGCCTAGCAGGTGGCTAGTCTAGCAAGAGATTGTAGGAACATGCTCTAATGAATGTGCGGGTTTTCACAAAAACTGCCACACACATCTCAATGGGTTCTGAGATGGTCACAGCAGGCTGTGATGTGGCTTCTCATGTCTCTGTAACGAGCACACCTGCAGCAACAGCATTGCCTTGCTCGCTGTGTGAGCTTTGTTGGTGCGGCGTGACATTGGCTCAAATCCACGCCACCGTGGCAGCGATGGCATGCTGGTCGCAGTAGATCCTGTGAAATCCACATTGGGGAGGCACGGCAGCACGGTGAGCTGCATGGACGGCTGGCCTGACCTGCCTGCCCGGCATGGTGCACCACCCATGCACTGGTGGACGGAGTAGAGCAAGGAAGGAAAGAGGGGAACTGGGGAGAGCAGGTGAGGGCAGTAGAGAGCAGGCACAAAAACGAGAGAGGGTGGAAGAAGCAGAGAGCATGCGAGGGTGGGTTGAGAGAGAGTCATACTCCAGTGTTGCCCAATACCCCTTTAGCGCCCTCTCCTCCTCCGCCCTCTCCTTGCGCTGCTCTCACCTCACCAACTTCTCACGCGCCCCCGCACTGCCCCCTCCTCCTCTGCCCTCTCCTCCTCCGCCCTCTACTTGCGCTGCTCTCACCTCACCAACTTCTCACACGCCCTCGCACTACCCCCTCCTCCTCTGCCCTCTCATCCTCCGCCCTCTCCTTGCGCTGCTCTCACCTCACCAACTTCTCACACGCCCCCGCACTGCCCCCTCCTCCTCCAACACCACCCAGCCCCCCTTCGCTCTTTGCCCCAAACCTCCCCTCCACATCCACGTGCCCCTCCCCACCTACGTGCCCCTCCCCACCTGTCGGCCCATCAAAGTCTCGCAGCACCATCCGCACCAGCTCCTCATGGGGAGGCAAGAATCGATTGAGCAAGTGCACCCGAGTACAGCTGCTGACACGGGCGAGCAGAGAGGCAGGGACGCAGTTCAAGTAAGAGAAAACTCTAAGGCAGCGGCAATCACCAAGTAGTTTCACACACTAGGGGGGGAAATTCCCCTCACCAGGGAGGCAATTCCTCTCACCAGGGAGGCAATTTCTCTCACCAGGGAGGCAATTCCTCTCACCAGGGAGGCAATTCCTCTAAACCAGAGAGGGGGACAATTCGTCTCACCAGAGGGGTGTGGGCGGGCAGCCAGTGGAAGAGTGGCTGGGAGCGGAACTAGGTGATCTGGCGCTTGGAGTAGCGCCGTGACGCCTGCTGGAACTTCACGGTGAACGCCACCAGCGCCGCCTGCAGCGCCCGCTACTCCTCCACCTGCTGCTCTTCCACCTGCTGCTCTTGCTGCCCTCGCTCCTCATTGGTCCCCGCTTACTCCATGAGGTGCTGGCAGTGCAGCAGGAAGGACATGGCCTGGCGGTAGCCGATGACGCGTGTGGGCGACGAACAGTCGGGCTGCAGCCCTGCTCGCAGCAGCGCCAGGCTCTCCTCCAGCAGCCCGCTTGCCCGCCACACAGGCGGAGAGAGCACGAGTGAGGGCGCGGGGCGATGGGGCATGCAAGGAAGGCAAGAGATGGAGGCATGAGGACGAAGGGGTGCCGTGGGGTTGAGAAAGGCGCGTGGCATTGTGTGGTGTAGGCGAAGGCAATGGTGAGAGGAAGGTGCAGCGGTCTGGAGTCACCGAGTACAAGCATTTGTTTGGTAGAATCTCAACGGCCGTAAGCCCTTCCACCTAGAAGCATCGTGGCTCGCCTCACCTTTCACCGGCTCTTCGCAGCGTCGATATATTTGGCGGTACAGCGAGAGGCGAGGGGCGTCCAGGAAAAAGCAGTAGAAGGCGAATGCTGGCACCGAGGCCCCAGCAGCAGCAGCAGCGGCAGCAGCAGCAGGAGGGGAGGGGAGATGCATTTGGCCTGGTGGGATGGCACGGTGATCTCTTATCGTGGCCGACCTGCGGCCTGAGGGAGGGAGACAGGCAGAGGCTTACAGAGGCGCTGATGAAAAGGGCGTGATGTGGAAAGGACGGAAAATTGTCATCAAGGTGAAGAGGAGTGAAAAAGAGGTAAAGAGGGAAGGAGGGGATGGTTGTGCGGGCGATTTTGAGTGGCTCACTGTCCCTGGCCTGCTGGATGCGGGACACTCCTCCACCATTATCCTTCCACCACTCTTGCCCCTCTACACACACACAGTGCCTCCTACATGCACACATACCCTTAGAATCTCAAACGCTCTGGTCAGCCGGTACCAGTCATTCCGTGCCAGCTGGCCTGCTGTGAGTGGGTCGCCCGTAGCAGCAAGAGCAGCGAGAGCAGCGTCCCAGTCGCCGTCCTCCGCATACCACGCGGCTGCCTGTTCGCCTCGCCCCCCCCTGCTCCCTCTCCTCTCCCCCTATCCCTGCTTCGGCCTGCCCCCCCCCCCCCCCCCATCTCCTCCTTCATCCCTCCCATAACCATGTCACCCCCCCCACACCCACACCCACAACCACACCCACACCCACACGCGCACCATCGTTGCCCTCCTCGCTCCTCAACGCTTTCTCCTCACTGAGTCGCCTACTAACGCCTGTCCCTCCATCACTCCCTCTTCTGCATCCCCCTCACGTCCACCTGCTGCCTCGTCTACCCCACCACCCGCCACTATGCTCCGCTCATCCCCCCTGGCAGCCCTGGCCTGCCGGGCGCGCATGACAGTGGCGTGGATCTTGGCAGCCATGGCGCGCTCAAGCGTGGGGCACGAGGGGCACGAGGGGGGCGTGGCGAGGAGGCCGCACAGCAGCCATGCGAGGTAGAGTCCCGTGCCGCCCACCGCCATGGGCACGCCCCCCCCCTGCAGCACGCCCTCCACCGCTGCACGCGCCGCCTCGTAGAATCGTCTGCCGTGAACTCTGGGGGTGCCGGAGGGGGGTGGGGTGGGGGCAGGGCCGGCGATGAGAGGGCATGCCTTTGTTGACATGCTGCTGCTCATGGGCATGCCCCCCCTATTCCGCGTTGCTCCTGAGCGAGGGAGAGCTGGTGCAACCTGTCCTGGACAAGACGCGCGACCTCTACGCGAAGTTGGCGACCGCGGGAATCACCTACCCGGAGCAGACCAAGTGCCTGAAGATGCTCTCACTGCTGCCTGAATCATGGCTTCAATTCACGAGTGGATTGAGCCTGCCGCAGAACCAGAGCTCGTGGACACTCGAGTGGGTGCGGACAAAGATTCTGAAGAGAGGACTTCCGTCGCCGCCAACTGAGGGGTGGAGACGACGGCAGCAGCGGCTACGGGATGCAAGGAAGCCAACGTGGCAGAGGACGTGGCTTCGGTGGTGCTGGACGCGGTGCGAAGAAAGACGACAACTCCAACGACCAACAAGGAGGTACTCGTTGGGGTCGCGATGCGAAATCTGGACGTGTGAGCAAGTCGAGTGCTTGTGGCAAAATGAGAGGGAGTTGCTGGTATTGTGAGAAGGAGGGGCACCCCTGGTTTTTGTGCTATAAGAAACCCGATGGATGGACCCACCAGAATCGTCACCAGAATGGCGACGCGCGGAGGAAATAGAAAAGCGGCGCGAGCATGGTCGCCGATTCGTCTGACAACAACCCGAGAAGCAACGGCGGTGCGGAAAAGAAGAAGGAGCGCACCGCGGGCCAGTTCTTCCATATTGGAGTGCAGGGGGAGCAAGGAGAGGCAAGCGGAGTGTGTGGTGAAGCGGATTAGGACAGATCGGGGTGGTGAGTTCCTTAGAGCTGAGATGACGGCCTGGCTCAAGAAGCAGGGCATCCAGAGGGAGCTGACCACGGCTCATACCCCACAGTCTAACGGTGTAGCAGAACGGGCCAATCGGACAATTCTGGAGACAGCTAGGGCGCTGCTCATAGAATCTGGGCTGGGCAACTCGATGTGGCCCCATGCTGTTCGGCACGTTACCGTCGCTAGGAACAGGGTGCTCACCAAGGTTGGGGATGACTCGTGGGTACCGTTGGAGAGGTGGCTTGGGAGGAAGCCGCCGGTAGACATGCCGAGGGTGTTCGGTTGCGTGGCAGTCGCCCACGTCCCCAAGAAGTATCGAAGTAAGTTGGGGGCGAGTGCAATCTGGTGTGTGCATTTGGGGCTAGCTGCTGAGAGCAAGGGATGGCTGCTGTGGGAACCATCCAAGGTTGTGCTGTTTGACAGCAGGGATGTGAAGTTTGTTGAGGGCATGATATATGGGAGCTGGGAGAAACAGCCGGAGGCCAGGGTGTCCCAGCAGATGGAGTAGATCGCCGTGCAGCTATACTTGACTCCTAGTGTGTGGGAGGAGGGAGAGGAGGCAGCTGCAGAGGGTGGTGATGGAGAGAAGGTACAAGAGGCACCTGCTGGTGGAGAAAATGGTGTGGAGATTGGCGGTAGCACTAGTGGAGCTGCTCACCTTGCCTGCAATGGCAGGCCACGGCCTCCCCTCTGCCTCCGCCTCTCGTGCACCCGCACTCGCTGCTTCCTCACCCTCCTCTGCCTTTCTCCAGTCTCCCTCCTAGCTACTCACCTTGCCAGCAATGGCAGGCCACGGCCTTCCCTCCGCCTCCGCCTCTCCTCCACCTCACTCGTTGCTTCCTCACCCTCCTCCGCCTTTCTCCAGTCTCCCTCCCAGCTGCTCATCTCGCCTGCAATGGCAAGCCATGGCCTCCCGTCCGCCCCCGCCTCTCCTGCACCTGCAGACGCTGCTTCCTCGCCCTCCTCCACCTTTCTCTAGTCTCCCTCCTAGCTGCTTACCTTGCCAGCAATGGCAAGCCACGACCTCCCCTCCTCCTCCGCCTCTCCTGCACCTGCACTAGCTGCTTCCTCACCCTCCTCCGCCTTTCTCCCATCTCCCTCCCAACTGCTCACCTCGCCTGCTATGGCAAGCCACGCCCCCCCCCCACCCCGCCTCCGCCTCTCCTGCACCTGCACTCGGTACTTCCTCACCCTCCTCTGCCTTTCTCCAGACTCCCTCCCAGCTGCTGACCTCGCCAACAATGGCGAGCCACGGCATCCCCTCCTCTTCCTCTCCTGCACCTGCACTCGCTGCTTCCTCACCCTCCTCCCCCTTTCTCCAGACTCCCTCCCTGCTGCTCACCTCGCCTGCAATGGCAGGGCACGACCTCCCCTCCGCCTCCGCCTCTCCTGCACCTGCACTCGCGGATTCCTCACCCTCCTCCGCCTTTCTCCTGTCTCCCTCCCAGCTGCTCACCTCGCCTGCAATGGCAAGCCACGGCCTCCCCTCTGCCATGGCTCCACCTGCTCTTGCCGGTCACAATTCTTATGTACCTCGTTCGCAGCCAGGCCTGCCACTCCCTTCAGCATCTCCCAGTTCTCATCGCCCCTCCCCCCCCACAACCGCCATAGTTGTTTGGTAGTTGGGAATTCGCCCTCGCAAGGAGAAGCCCAGGAAACCAGACCCTGCTCCCATGCAGGGGGCGTCTAAGTCAGATGATGAAAGCCAAGATGAAGAATCAGTAGATGAAGACCTTTCGGACAGTGATCCTGAGCCGCTGAGCCTCCTTGCTGCTGTAAGGCGGGCTGGAATCACTAAAGTAACGTGAGCTGCATATCAAGCATCTCAAGAAATGAACCGCGAGCAGGCTTGTCGCATCATGGAACTGGAGAACCAAGTACGTCTCACAAACGCGGCCCCAAAATCCCCTAGCACCGAAGGGGGCATTGGCGGTCAGGCACTTGTACCACAACTTGTATCAGCCCCCCTTGCTGTGCAAGCCCAACGTGTATCTGCTCCTGTCAATCGCTCTGCACTTCATACTCAGCTCAACCAACCTTGTAGCAGCCCCACTCCAAAACTTCCCTATGCTCTATCTTCTGTAATGTGGCCACGCACCCAAGCTGCGTTCTGTCGCATGGTGGCACGGGCACACGTTCGGAGGCAGCAGATCGATTGCTCTGAAATTACGCAACGACAAAAAGATTGGGATGTGAGGGTCATCACCGCTATAGATTCATTCCCGGATGTGGATGATGGTCTAAAGGCGAGTCATGAGAAACGCGCATGCGCTTTGGTCGATTACCTCATCCAAAATGGTTGTTCTCATGCCTTCAGTAACACGCTCCGAATGATATTCCACTTTCCCTCAGCCCCTGTGACACCCGCCCTTCCCCCATTCCTACATACACACCCCACCCTCTGTTCTCGAATTCAATGTCTACTCATGCTTGTGTGCAAGGAAACCATGGCGAGGACATTGACATAGTCTATTTCAGAACATGTCTCCATGACTTCATAATGTGGCCCCAGCGCAGGCGCATTGAATATGCCCTGCACATGGCACTGGACCTCACCGAGCCAGAGGAGCAACATGTTGTTGCTGTGGTTCTCGCAGCCGACATGCATCGGGCCTCATATGTCTGAAAGATGTTTCAGAAGTTTCGCAACAAGGCATTGACTGGCGAGCGCGATTGGGTGTACAATATCATCGACTTGCTGGAGCGAAGCTTGGCGGGAAAAAGAGCGGCACTACAACTGTTGAACAGTTCCAGACAGACTTCAACCCGAGTAAGTATGGAGCTGGCCCTCTCTTCCCGCCTTTGCTGCCTCTGCGCTCCTTCTATCCCACATTCGCCACTCCTCCCTGCCACCACCACAGCCTTAAACCCTTCCATGTAAATCCCTTAATTCCAGACTCCTACCTCACTCGCACGGAGCTGCCCCCCTCTGCCCAATTTGTTGTCACTCTCCTCACTCAGTTCCACATCCCCTCCTCCCTCCTGCCACATCCTGCTCTCCTCCCCGCCACCACCCGAGGCTCTAATCCTCCGCTGGCAATCCCAAGAGCCCTTCCTTTTTCCCACCTCGCAAGGAGCTGGCCTCATCTGCCCACCGTTTTGACTCTGCCCTCACTCTGTTCCACATCCCCTCCTCCTTCCTCCCACACCCCCCTCCCCTCCCCACCAGCAACCCAGACTCTAATCCTTCCATCTATATACCCCAAGCCCACCCTTCTCGCCTCACAAGGAGCTACTCCACTCTGCCCAATGTGTTGTCACTCCCCTCACTCTGTCCCACATCCCTTCTTCCCTCCTCCCACATGCCCCTCTCCTCCCCGCCACCACCCCAGGCTCTAACGGTTCCACAAAAATCTCCTAAGCCCCTCTTTCTTGCCTCGCAAGGGACTGCACCCTCTGCACACCGTATTGTCTTTAACCCTTCTTCTTTCTGTCATCCTTGAAACCCTCCTCTCACTTCCCCCTCTCCGCCCCACCACCAACCCAGGCTCTAACCCTTTGATGCAATCCCTAGAGCCCCTCCTTTTACCTCACTCACAAGGAGTTACCCCTCTCTGCCCACCGTGTTGTCTCAACCATCACTCTGTCGCACATCCCCCTCGCCTGCCCTTCAACCCCCTAGGTCTAACCCCTCCAGCCGAATCTCCTAAGTCCCTTTTGTTTTCTCACCTCGCAATGAGCTACCCCCCTTGGTTTGGCCTCTTTGTCTCTCCCCTCACTCTGTTTCACATCCCCTCCTTCCTCCCACATCCCCCTCTCCGCCACCACCCCAGGCTCTAACTTTCCGAGCCAATGCCAATAGCACATCCTTCCCGCCTCGCAAGAGTCTGTTCCTCTTTGCCCGCACTCTGTCCCACGTCCCCTCCTCCTCCTCCTCCCACATCCCCCTCTCCTCCACGCCACCAACCCAGACGCTAATGGTTCAACCAAATCCCCTACGTGCTTGCTTCTTCCCGCCTTCCGAGGAGCTGCCCCTCTCTCCCAACTGTGTTGTCTCACCAATGATTCTCTCCCACACCCCCCCCGCCTCCCCGTTACCACCCCAGGCTCTAATCCTCCAAGCCAATCCTAAGAGCCCCATCTGCCCACCGTTTTTTCACTGCCCTCACTTTATCCCACATCCCCTCCTCCCCTGTCCCACATCCCCTTTTCCTAAACCCGCCACCACAACAGGCTAAAACCCTTCCATCTACATCCCCCATTCCCCTCCTTTCTCCTCACCCGCAAGGAGCTGCCACCCTCTGCCCACTCTATTGTCTCAACCATCATACTATCCCAAATCCCTTCTTCCTTCCACATCCCCCTCTCCTCCTCGTCACCACCCTAGGCTCATTCCTTCTACCGACACTCTAATCCCCTCCTATCCTAAGCCCTCAAAAGGAGCTGCACCACTCAGCCCACCGTTTTTTCACTGCCCTCACTCTCTCCACATCCCCCTCCTCACTCCTCCCACATCCCCCTCTCCTCACCACCATCCCAGGCTCTAATCCTCTGAGCCAATCACCAGAGCCCCTATTTCAACCTGCCATGCAAGGAGCTGCCCAACTCTGTTGGCCGTGCGCACGTTCTTAAAACTTCCAATGATTGTCATTTTCATTTTCTTCCCTTTGACCCCCGACAGGTGTCCAGTTTAGGGAGTGCGAGAGGGAGCTAGTACTGTTTCTGCACACCATGGACAACAACCACGGGGCACTGAGTTCTACAAGTCGTTGACTGTGATGCTGCAGTCAACGGACTATGCGGGTGCATACCCGAACATGGTGTGTTTGTGGCAGGCAGTGGCAGTGCTCCGGTTGCACACTCTTTAGTGCGAGCGTGGTTTCAGCCGACAGAACCGCATCAAGAGCTGGACACGTAGCAGTTTGAGAGATGCACGACTGCGCGATTGATGACCTGTGCACTTCTTTTATCGACATGTGTGAACTGGATAAACGCAGTGGCGCTCTTTCGTATCGTATAGTTCCGGCTAGAAGACCCGGGGGACTCTCTACAAATGCTTAAAAATATGCTTGGGTGGACATTATGGCGGTTGCAAATTTTTAAGACCCGGGGTACACTTATTTATCATATATCAATTTGTTATTTAGGGTGTACAGCTCAATTTGGGGTAGGGGGGGTCTTATATTCGTAACGAAAAACCGCCTTCGCGTACAAATTTCGCGCGAGCGGCGCGTCAAATTTCTGTCAGAATTCGAGTCTGACACAATCAAAGTGTCAGAATTCGAGTCTGACACAAAATGAATGTCAGAATTCGAAAATTTGCCAGTAAAAACTGACTCACAATTGCAATAACAACTACTTTATACATAAAAGGGGGGTCTTATGATGATTAGAGGCCAAGGGGGGGTCCTCACAATATCTGTCACAATAAGAGTCCCCCTACCCGTTCAAGAGTCCCGGGGGACCTTCTTACCGGCGGGTCTTCTAGCCGGAACTATACGGTAGTCTCAAGAAGCGCCACCCGGCTGGCGATTTTGTTGATGATGTTCTGTAGGCGTGCATGGTAGATTGTGAGTAGTTGAAATTGGAAAACTTGTGTACTAAAACAAGATTTCCTAGAAAAAAAAGGGACTTCTTCACATTACACTGATGAGTAGAAATAAACTCAACCAAAACCCTTACCAGAAAGAGTGAATTTCGTGCCTCACACTGATAGAAAAAGTACGGTACCTGGGAGGCGGTGGCCTTACGTGAAAGCGTACATAGAATCCTAACCAGAGCACTGGACCACCTCCCAAACCCTTTAGTATCCTTCTTGTTGAGAAACCCTTTATTGAAAAGCTCTTTTGTTCCTAGCATGGTTCATGTGCAAGTTGGCTCTTAAGATTTGTCGGCTCCAGGACCAGGTTCTAAGATGAATAGTATCTTGACCCATTCTACGGTAACAGAAGGTCAGCCTTGATGGTTGAGAGCAGCGATGACGTGGCGTGTGGAGGGCAGCACGTGGGCCACGAGCGGCAGGTGGGAGGGCGCAGCGAGCACGGTGGCGGGCGCGTACAGCCACGGCGCCACCGACACGTTGAAGGCTGCGAAGTGCGGCACGAGGATGGCCTCCCAGTCCACCTGCAGAGGAAGGGGAAGAGGGGGGAGGGGAGGGCGGAGAGTGGGGAGGCGGAGAGAGCAGCAAGAGGGATCAGCTATTGCTGGCAGCTGTGGCAACCATGAAGTGAAGGGAGGAACGTAAACAGCAGCACCAAATAACTGAAATTCGAAGCGAGGTGTGCAGAGTGGAGGAGCAGAGCAGGGACCTGCATGGCATGCGGGATGGGGGCGGTGGTGAGCATGCCGGCGGCCATGGAGAGGCCGAGCACGGCGATGAGCCCCACCATGGCACTGCCGCGCGTCAGCGGCATCAACTGGTACCTGCTCCGCCCACGGGCCGAGCGCCGCGACAGGGGGGGCAGGCGAGAGGGGAGATAGGGGAGGAGAGACAGGTAGGGCAGGAGATGTAGGGGAGAGGAGATATGAAGCACGGCAAAAGACAGACGAGTGTGGCAGAGTTGAAATGTAGATTCTCAATACTCAGTGCATCTTCCCAACTGCCCGCCTCTCCTGCACCGCCCCCCAACACACCCCCCACTGCCTTCCAACCCTCATCCTGGTGAGCGCACACCACTGCAAGGCAATTACCAATAGTATCCAATTCGCAGAATATTTTCCTGAATGCGTTGGCGATAGCGGGCGGCATCAGCTGTCTCCAGGGCACGGTCCAACACGGCGGCACAAAGATCCTGCCACTCCCGATGACAAGGCAGAGATGGGTGAGGATTCAGAGGTGGGTGAGGATTCAGAGGTGGGTGAGGATTCAGAGGTGGGCGAGGATTGAGAGGTGGGTGAGAGGGAAAGTGAGAAATACATGCAAATGCACACGCGGCAGCAGCATCAGTGTGTATGCGGCACTCCTTGTCAGCCCTCACCTGCCTCCCTCTTTGTTGACCACACACCCACCCCCCTCACCCACCCCCCTCACCCACCCCCCTCACCCACCCCCCTCACCCACCCCCCTCACCCACCCCCCTCACCCACCCCCCTCACCCACTACCCTCACCAACGCCCCGCACCCACCCCCCTCACCCACTCCCCGCACCCACCCCCCTCCCCCACCCCCCGCACGCACCCCCTTCCCCCACCCCCCTCACCCACCCCTCTCACCCACCCCCAATCACTCACCCGCCACGCGGCAGTGAGCTCGGCGTCAAACTGCTTCCAGCGCGGCGGCGTGACGGGCGTGCGGATGGCAAAGTCAAACCCCGCCCCACTGCCATGCATGCACGGGCAGGGGCGCAGCGGGGCAGCCAGTAGGGGAATGGGTAGGCGAGGGCAGCATGGTGGTGAGGCATTGCAGACGCAGCTGAACGAGTGCAGCACACCAGGGGAGAGGGATGCGGATGAGTGAGAGTGGTGGGTCAGTGGAGTGGAGAGGATGAGTGAAGAGGAATGAAGGGAGAGGAATGAGTGGGGAGGAATGAAGGGAGAGGAATGAGTGGGGAGGAATGAAGGGAGAGAAATGAGTGGGGAGGAATGAAGGGAGAGGAATGAGTGGGGAGGAATGAAGGGAGAGGAATGAGTGGGGAGGAATGAAGGGAGAGGAATGAGTGGGGAGGAATGAAGGGAGAGGAATGAGTGGGGAGGAATGAAGGGAGAGGAATGAGTGGGGAGGAGAGGCGGAGGGCATTGGGTAGCACTCACGACTGGACGACGGTGAGCTGCGTGCCGTTGAGCACCACGCTGGTGCCGCCACATGCAAGGGCGGTGGGGCAGACAGGGGGGGCAGGAGGAGACAGGTGAGTGGCAGGTTAGACACATGAGAGGGAAAAACACATGACACATGAGAGGGATAAACACATGAGAGGGATAAACACATGAGAGGGATAAACACATGAGAGGGGTAAACACATGAGAGGGATAAACACATGAGAGGGATCAACACATGAGAGGGATAAACACATGAGAGGGATAAACACATGAGAGGGATCAACACATGAGAGGGATAAACACATGACATGGATAAACACATGAGAGGGATAAACCCATGAGAGGGATAAACACATGAGAGGGATCAACACATGAGAGGGATAAGCACATGAGAGGGATAAACACATGAGAGGGATAAACACATGAGAGGGATCACCACATGAGAGGGATCAGCACATGAGAAGGATAAACACATGAGAAGGATAAACACATGAGAGGGATAAACACATGAGAGGGATTAACACATGAGAGGGATCAACACATGAGAGGGATAAACACATGACATGGATAAACACATAAGAGAGATAAACCCATGAGAGGGATAAACACATGAGAGGTGTCAACGGGAGTTGTGTGTTGGCCCCGTCCTCGCTTGGGCGGAGCCGACATCGTGGTCGGGTGTGAGGGGAACAGCCGACCTACAGCAGTGGGCGAGCTGGTTGACGAGGAGGTCGACCTGCACGGGGACCACTGCACGGGCGCCGAATTCAGGGTGGCGCTGACTTCGGGGAGGTCGACTTGGGAGTCGGCCTGCGGAGGACGTCAATTAGGGATGAGCAAGGTGGCGAACACCTGTTCGGTTCGCCTCGAACGTGTTCGAAGCGAACCGAACAGGTTTTGTTTTTTAGCTCAAATCGTTCGCCGAACAGTGTTCGATGTTCGCCCGAACACGTTCGTGTTCGGGCCGCTGCTGAAATTTGCCCGCGACGAACACGAACAGTGTTCGAGGTTCGCCCGAACACGCCTTCACAGGCGAACGGCGAACACCATTTTTTGCTCAAAGTGTTCGCCGAACCGAACAGTGTTCGGTTCGGCAAAAGAGGGTGTTCGACAAGGGGCGAAGACGAACATGTTCGTGTTCGCCCTTTGCTCATCCCTAACGTCAATTTGGTGACGTCAACTTGGGGAAACCGACTTCGGTGGTCGGCTGATCGACCGCTGGTCGACCTGCGGGTGGTCGACTGGACCTGGTGGACGACGAAGGAGGGGCCAACGTCGACCCCGACTCAGGACGCCGAGAAGTTGGGCGTCGAGTAGCGGGGCGTCAACTTCGTGACGCCAACTTCGGGTGGCCGACGTGGGTAGTCGGCCGACGACTGTGCTGGTCGACGAGGAGCAGGTCGACCAGAAGGGACATCGACCTGGAGCTGGTCGACCAGGGGCGTGGTCGACCTGGTGAGGTCAACGTGGAGGTGGTCGTCGACTTGGGAGGTCGACGGGCACGTACGGGAGTTGCTGGTCGACGTGGTTGCTCGGTCGACCAGGTTACCTGGGTGACGAAGTACTGCGGAGGAGTGCGACGGTCGCCCAGGCGAAGTTGGCGAGCCCGACCTCGGCGGTGGTATCCCGAGGTCGTCGTGGCGGATCAGAGGCAATCGTCAGCTCGAGGTTGACGTGGTGTGTGCGCTGTGCAGGTGACGAGACTCTGCACGCCAATCATCTGCGCGCACCTGCGAAGCGGGTGCACTGCTGTTCTGCGCAAGCAACGCTGGCTCGCCGTCAATCTGCGACGTTGGCACGCCATCGACCTTGCCTTGTTGGAGCACGGTCGACCAAGCAGTGCTGGAACGCGGTCGACCAAGCTGCGCTGGCAGTTGGCCGACCTGAATGCTCACTCTGATGTAGTCTTGCTATGCCAACTTCATTGAATCATTGTTCTGAACTTTTCGTAGTGGAACTCTTGCCAATTTTCCCCGTGAACTAGCAAGTAGTGTGTGCAGAAGGAAAACGACTAAGGACTAAGGAACGCAGAGATCACACGAGCACACGTGCCTAACCCGTAGTCTAGCTCCCGTTGCTGCAGTTATCTCCGCAAGAGGGATCAACACATGAGAGGGATACGCACATGAGAGGGGTAAACACATGAGAGGGATAAACACATGAGAGGGATAAACACATGAGAGGGATCAACACATGAGAGGGATCAACACATGAGATGGATGAACACATGAGAGGGATAAGCACATGAGAGGGGTAAACACATGAGAGGGGTAAACACATGAGAGGGATAAACACATGAGAGGGATAAAGCCATGAGAGGGATAAACACATGAGAGGGATAAACACATGAGAGGGATTAGCACATGAGAGGGATAAACACATGAGAGGGGTAAACACCTGAGAGGGATAAACACATGAGAGGGGTACACACATGAGAGGGATAAACACATGAGGGGGATAAACACATGATGAGAGGGATAAACACATGAGATGGATAAACCCACGAGAGGGATAAACTCATGAAAGGGATAAACACATGAAAGGGATCAACACATGAGAGGGATAAACCCATGTGAGGGATAAACCCATGAAAGCGATAAACACATGAGAGGGATAAACACATGAGAGGGATAAACACATGAGAGGGATAAACACATGAGATAGATAAACACCTGAGAGGGATAAAGCCATGAGAGGGATAAACACATAAGAGGGATAAACACATGAGAGGGGTAAACATCTGAGAGGGATAAACACATGAGAGGGGTACACACATGAGAGGGATAAACACATGAGAGGGATAAACACATGATGAGAGGGATAAACACATGAGAGGGATAAGCCCATGGGAGGGATAAACACATGAGAGGGATAAACACATGAGAGGGATAAACACATGAGAGGGATAAACACCTGAGAGGGATCAAGAGAGGGATAAACCCATGAGAGGGATAAACACATGAGAGGGATAAACACATTAGAGGGATAAACACATGAGAGGGATAAACACATGAGAGGGATAACGCATAATGAGAGGGAAAAACACATGAGAGGGATAAATACATGAGAGGGGTAAACACCTGAGAGGGATAAAAACATGAGAGGGGTACACACATGAGAGGGATAAACACATGAGAGGGATAAACACATGATGAGAGAGATAAACACATGAGAGGGATAAACCCATGAGAGGGATAAACTCATGAAAGGGATAAACACATGAGAGGGATAAACCCATGTGAGGGATAAACCCATGAAAGCGATAAACACATGAGAGGGATCAACACATGAGAGGGATAAACACCTGAGAGGGATGAAGCCATGAGAGGGATAAACCCATGAGAGGGATAAACACATGAGAGGGATAAATACATGAGAGGGATAAACACATGAGAGGGACAAACACATGCGAGGGGTAAACACATGCGAGGGATAAACCCATGAGAGGGATAAACACATGAGAGGGATAAACACATGATAGGGGTAAACACATGACATGGATAAACACATGAGATGGGAGGGATATACACATTAGAGGGATAAACACATGAGAGGGATAAACACATGAGAGGGATAAACACATGAGAGGGATAAACACATGAAAGGGATAAACACACGAGAGGGGTAAACACATGAGAGGGATAAACACATGAGAGGGGTAAACACATGAGACGGATAAACACATGAGTGGGATCAACACATGAGAGGGATAAACACATGAGAGGGATAAACACATGATGAGGGATAAACACATGGGAGGGGTAAATACATGAGAGGGATAAACACATGAGAGGGATAAACACATGATGCGAGGGATAAACACATGATGGGGATAAACACCTGAGAGGGATAAACACATGAGAGGGATAAACACCTGAGCGGGATAAACCCATGAGAGGGATAAACACATGAGAGGGATAAATACATGAGAGGGATAAACACATGAGAGGGGTAAACACCTGAGAGGGATAAACACATGAGAGGGGTACACACATGAGAGGGATAAACACATGAGAGGGATAAACACATGATGAGAGGGATAAACACATGAGAGGGATAAACCCATGAGAGGGATAAACACATGAGAGGGATAAACACATGAGAAGGATAAACACATGAGAGGGATAAACCCATGAGAGGGATAAACACATGAGAGGGATAAACACATTAGAGGGATAAACACAAGAGAGGGATAAACACATGAGAGGGATAAACACATAATGAGAGCGATAAACACATGAGAGGGATAAACACATGAGAGGGGTAAACACATGAGAGGGATAAACACATGAGAGGGATAAACACATGAGAGGGATAAACACATGATGAGAGGGATAAACACATGAGAGGGATAAACACCTGAGAGGGATAAAGCCATGAGAGGGATAAACCCATGAGAGGGATAAACACATGATGCGGAGATAACTGCTGCAACGGGAGCTGGACTACGGGCTAGGCACGTGTGCTCGTGTGATCTCCGCGTTCGTTCACTTAGTCGTTTCCTTGTGTTCACGTTTCTTGCTAGTTCACGTGGAGAATTGGCAAGAGATTCACCAGGAAAACATGACAACAATGATAGCAACAACATTGGCAGCATTGACTACATCAGAGCTAGCTAGGCTGCTGGTCGACCTCCTGCGCAGCACGGTCAACCGCACTCCAGCGCAGCAGCGCTCGCACTGTTCCAGCGTAGCAGAGTAGCGATTCGCCAACGTTGTAAGTCCACGGTGTGCCAGCTCTGCACCAAGTCGGCTGCACAGCGTTGCACCCGCAGGACAACGGTGCACCTGTTTCACAGGTGCGCGCAACTGGTTGGTGCGTACTTCCCTGTCACGTGCACAACACAGACGCCTGGCAGACTCCACGCCAGCGACTGTGCCCACCAGCCACGTCGACCCCGGGATACCACCCCCGAGGTCGGCCTCGCAGACTCCACCCTGGCGACACTCGCGCACGTCGCCCGAGTATTCCGCTCGACCTGGCAACCACGCTTGGTCGACCCACGCAGTCCGTAGCCGGCCACGCATGCCCGG